GTGCAGGTTTACTTGTGGTTCCTAGAGTCCACAGAAGTAGAATGGGAGGCAGAGCCTTTAGCTATCAAGCTCCTCTCCTGTGGAACCAGCTCCCAGTCTCAGTTTGGGAGGCAGATGCTCTCTCTACCTTTAAGACTTCCCTTTTGATAAAGCTTATAATTAAGTTAATATAATATTGTTGTATTTCAGTATAATCATCTCTCATCTCATCACATTTTTGATACCGCTTAGTCCTGAACGGGGTTGCGGGGGGGTGCTGGAGCCAATCCCAGCTGGTATTGGGCGAAAGGTGGGGTACACCCTGGACAGGTCGCCAGTCCATCGCAGGGCCAACACGCAGATGAACAAACACACACACATTCACAAACTATCATGGGAATATTTCTTTTAGGTGGAATGGAATTATAGTACACCAAACTGCTTGGCAGAGGTTTGCACTCTGAGTACTGTCTAGTTTTAAAATATACTGTCGTTGAGGTTGGAGAACTTTCTGCCTCATACAGTATGCAGCCATGAGGCCACACCTCAAGCAGACATGTACATAATACACAATCAAAAAAGCTTTAAAAGAAGCTATGTATAAAATACCAAATATTCAAAAACCAAAATACTAGATTTAGATGTCTGTACCCAAGCATACCGAGGCAATCCAAAATACCCACCATGAAAAAGGCCAAATGAGAATAATGATCATTCACCATTAAAGTTTCACTAATGGTCATGGAATAACATTTCATCACTATTCAATTGTTAACAATTTTGTTGACCATTATAGGACCCCAAAAATTACTTAGTGCTGCAATGTCAGCAGCACGAGGTAAGTCCTGAAGTTACTACTACTGATCTTAAATGGTCTCCTTTAAGCATCAAACACTGAGACCCAAAGTCTTGGTTTCACAACATCTACACACTGTCAGACTTAGACATTCCCTGAGAGCTGACCAGTACAAACAGCAGGTAATCAAATAGCAACCAGAACAAAAAATAGGAAGATGTTAGAAAAGTGAGATTGGAAAGAAAGCATTCTGCTGTCCAGATCAGCTAGATGAGCAGTGAGTCATGCGGAGAACACCAATTATTCAACATCATCGTACATCTCTCAAAGAAAAATTGCTACTGCGATGCAACGAATAATGCTACAGACTTGCAACTAACACCAAATTGTAGCTGAAACTCTGCCAATTCAGTAGGGTCTCAACAAGTTTGACATATCTTGAACAGTCACTTAGCTAGAATGCCATAAATGTAATGTCATTTTTCTTGAATAACATTCAAACTAATCATGGGTATCAGTGTGATTCTAAATGCTAGGGTTAGGTTTTTTTGGTCAAGGAATCATATTTTGAAATATCTATCATAGGATCATTGCTTTTAGTTGTAATGGCATTGTAGGGACAGTGAGCATGCACATCTGAGCTTTTAATAGAAGCCCTCCTTGTCCACACTTTACATGTTTGAATCCATCAAATGGTCTATTTGTTGTTTTTTTTTTAAAGCATAATAGATATCAGAAAATATACTAAAAAGGACCCTCATTAGAAGAAAAT